AACCCTGCTGCTGTGTGCCAGCAGCCACTGCAGCTTCTTATACTTCTCCATAATAGGTCATATCAGCAGCATGGCTTGTAATTATTGTTTACGGCCACTCTGGCTCCATTTATGGAGAACTGTCTTGATGTGGCGGTGAAGCAGTGAGTCTGTAATCTCAGGGATTTGCAGGCTGCTCACAAAATTACTCTCATGGTTGAGAAGATGATTTAATTCCTGATTCCCAGTAAGGTCAGGATTTCACACACCAGTGAGTGGCCTTGGCTTTAAATGGGAGCTTGACGGTGAGTGGTGCAGTCAGAGGGAGAGCTGATGCTGAATCAGGACAGTCGCTCCCTCTGTTGAAATGTGCGGATCGCAGGTGTTGCACTTTTTGTAAGAGCGATTCAGAGTTTTAGTGACCTAAGGTGCAGTTTAAAGTTCATAAATGAAAATTACACTTGGCACCACATGTGCAACTTAATAATATCAACAATCCAGTATAACCACAGGTCTGTTATTATGGCTGTTGTCCACCAGCAGTTGGTCGCTCAGAGTACCAGGATAGTTATTGTCCTATGTCAGAGACGGTGTATTGAACAGTGAACTACTGATGCAGCAGGTGAGTCTTTTACAGACGGAAAGTCATATTCACTCATCTGATACAGATGTTACGGGCCCAGGAGTGGTATCAACAGCCAAGGCTAATGTCAGATCTCGCCAGGTTAAAGAAAGCAGGGGGAAAAAATCCTCCCGTTTATCAGGATCCACTCCTAAATGTAATGGGTTCTTCTTCGGGTCAGGCCACACCCCTCCACAGAATTCCATGAAAATGGGTTTGGTAGTTTTTGTGTAATCCTGCTGACTGAGCAACAGAAATGAAATATAACTTCCTTGGTGGAGGTAGAGCTGAAGCACTGTGGGGATATTGGGGTGAATTTCAGCAGCAATGAAGACAAGAAGCCGTCGGTTCATCCTCCAGGTAACATCTGAACAATTCCACCTGTGGTGCTGCTCTGCTTCAGTGCTCCTGCAAAACTGTCCACTTTACCAAAACAAACACCAGTAAGGACGTTATATTTTTACTTTATCTGACTGATGGTGAGCAGTATTGAAAAAATCTACTGAGCGGATATTTGTGAAACTTGGTGGAAGGACGTGGTATCGATCAGGATAGTACCCATCACGTTTTGGTGCAAATCAAGGATTTTTATCACTTTCTTCACAGAGAATAGTTCGTGAATCTTTGTGAAAAAAAGACATGATTGGGGGACTGATATGAGCGTCTGCAATTTGATGCAGACGCAAATAAAATCTATCGTGCACTTGAAACTGAGAGGAGCATTAGAATACAAAGACACCATATTACCATGTTCTCTCATATTTGTTCTGTGTTTGACTGAGGGGATGTTAGGGAGAAAGAAGGGGGATGTGCATGAGATGGTAAAGTGGGAAAATGGCTGCAAAGAGACACCCTGACCCATATTACATAATCGTGACAACAGGAACTACACAGTGAATAAACACACTGAGCTCTTGAACACAAAGAGTGAGTTTAACCTTGGTGGTGAAACGTGGCAACGTCAGGATCAGGACGACGGGATCGAGATCGTCTGAAATGGCAACGAGTCTCATGTCATGTTTAGCCTCATATGCAAACTGCTGTTCTTCCCCTCTGGGACTGAGATGGGGCAGATAAGTGCACGGAAGAAACACTCCCCCTCATTTTCTGTCTGCTTCAGCTGCTCGAACTCCCCCTTTTCTCTTTCTTTTCCTTGTCTTCTATCCTTCCCTATCTCCGCCTCATGCTCCTCCTGCTCCTCCTCCAGCGCAAGCTGGATAACATACCGCCTGCCTCTTGTTTGGATAAGTTAATGCTGAGATGTCAGCCTTGATTCTGATGTATACCACCTGCCTTGGCCTCCGGTTGACCTCGTACTCCAGCTCCCACTGCAGAGACATTCCAGTGCTTTTCTGGGACTTTGTTTACACTGCAACAGATTGCCCTGCTCTCCCTGTCTGTTTCATCACAGCGGACGCTGCTGGGCCTCTAGCACAGAGTCATCCCAACATACGCATTGGTCTGAGGCAACATGATAAGTGAGCTGGCTAAAAGTCCCTGATGGGGAAGTGTTGTGTTCAAAAGCACAGAGCGTCACGGTGACGTTTTGGACGCAGAAATTAAATTCTATCACAGTCCCTAACCCGGAAATAAGGGATGTCTGCGGACCGGGCATCTCTGTGTTTCTCTGTTTCTGGCTTGGCCTCACGAGGAGAGGCCTGCGAGCAGCTCGAGTCATTCCGATGCCAAGATCCTCCCACTCAGCGCTGTGAGAGCTCATGTGAACACGATGACCTCACTGCGGCTGCTCTCTAAATGAATTAGAGCTGCTGATTTACAGTTTAAGTCCATGTAAGATCCTCACCTAAGCATAGAAGTCAAATGAAATAAGTGTTCGAGCCAAGTCTTCATCTTAGAAACGACTCGTATGTCTCAGTCTTTAATGGGAAAATGTCAGCCACACAGTGGGCCGATGGAAGATTGCTGCGGAAATAACACTTGAAACACCCTTTGTTTAGCATCAATATACAGGAAGTAACTTCTCCTAGAAAGAAGTTAGGTGTTTTTATATCAGTGTTTTACTATATTGTCGTTGATTGTGTTTATACACCAGCTTCTACTTGATGTCCACAGGAGTTAAAGTTGTTAATAACAATAATAATTAATGCGATTTGATAAAAGCTTTACTTGACTCAGACGCTTTACAAAGGAAAAAGAGCAAAAACCTTCAAGACATTTGGCAAGTACATAGACTGCTCATTATTGAACACGGAATAAAAGTGCATTATAGTGGGTCACTAACTTTGTAATACAGATTTGGCCTCTGCATATCTTATAATTGTTAATAGGAGGATTTAAGTTAGTTAAATATGTTCTGTCTTTATGTTTATTTTCTTAATTGTTAGTTTATGTAAAAGCAAACTTATTATAATATTGTGTTAACTTGACCACTACTCTGTACTTTTTGTGAATGTGTATTTACATGTGTAGTGAGCACAGGAGAATCATTGTTTTCAGGTGAGAAGCCACTTTGAAGACAGAAATGTTCCATTAACAGGTGATTAATAAATCAGAAGCTTTGACTTCACAAATAGCGCGTACAGAATGTGAAAATATGAAAAACAGTGATACCCAGGAAAGAGCTCGTTTATGCAGAGCTGCAGCCGCCGCCGAGGACATTGAGGTCACATCCACAGCATTGTTTCTGGGAATGTGTGGGGCATTAACAAACTGAGGGGGGGTTGACACATCACACACACACAACACACGACACAAATAGTGGGTTAACAGAGAGATTCGTTTAGTGGTTGGTTTCAACATGCAATATTTGACTGTTTGTGGCCTTAAAGAGGATAAGATTTCACCCAACAAAGGGATATTACTCCCCCAGAGTTGCTTTTCACAGTGCACAGTGGTTACTTTTAGACTGTTGTGGTTACACTGGGGGAATGTTGGGCTCGGTATTTATGAAATTGTGTTTTCTGAAAGTACTTGACACTTTACCAATCTGTATCCTCTGCAGTAGTTTTATCAGGATAAAATGTATCATCCACTCGGACAAGTTATTTAGCAAAGATGACACAAGCGAATAGTTCGGGAGCGTGTCTCAGCAAAAACACATGAAGAAAGAAGCCGGACACAAATCTTGTGGTGGCCTTGTCATCGGAGCACATGTGCTACACAACATTAAACAGCTGGTTTAAGTTACGACATGACCACCTACACGGTGAGTAACTGAGGGCTCGTTATTGATAGAACAGACGGCCATTACTGCTACATTCACCACCTGCTCTATGACTCAAAAAATGACATTTAGATCACAATCAAACCACTGCCGGCGGTTTGAAAATATAAAAGCAATGTTAAAAACAAATATCAACCTATAAATTACTTTTTATAAGGGTTATTGATTTATTCACCATTTTGAGATGGATTACCTTTATTATAGATTCTGTCACGTACAGTATAATAAAAGGATATTAGTCTCATGACATTTCATCAGTGAGCTCTGTCACCCTCAAGTGGTACGAAGAACAAATAACACTTAAAGGGGGGGAGAGTCACGTGCAGATGCTGAGTTAACTGGCCACATAAAAACAAGAAGCTGTTTATTTGAAGCCAAGACATGAAACAAACTGGTTTTAACTGATCACAAGTATTCTGGAAAATATTTACTCCTAAACTAAATGAACAACCTGCTCTACTTCTCTGATTGTGGCTCTTTAATATATATTTTTTTAATGTTTTTAATATTTAGCTGTACAAGTCTTGTCTTACTGCATCTGGAGAACAAATAATGTATCTCTGCTGGGAGTGTTAAAGGTCCATTAAGACTTGTTCTTCCAATCTAATGAACAGCTTTTATCCAAATTCCATCAAACTGAAATCTGTCCAACAAGGTCCAAACAATATCCTGGTTTAAAAGAAATACCTGGAATTGGTCCAATTCATTGTACTATAGCTACACAGACCATTTCTTTAAAACAAGTAGAACATAATTGTCTAAGCAAATTACCTGCAAACCGCTGTGTCTGAGTTTGTTGTTGTTTTGTTGTAATCTATCATTTAGTTTTTGCACTATGAAGATGTGACTGTGCAATGACCAATAAAGACAAGTCTCCTCTAGCCACAACACAGAACCAGTAAAACTTTGATGTAGTAATATAGTGATGATGACTTGCTCGGCTTTGAAAATTAATTTAGGTTCTTTGTAAAATTTGGATTTATTTGAAAGTTCACTATGATAAACAATTCCTGCAAAGCTGGAGGTGAGTGTAAGATTTATCTAATGCAGTTAGAAAAACTGACCATGGTCTTTTAGAGTTTACAGTTCTCAGAACTGACAGCGCCATCATGTGGCAAAATACTCCCCCATCACTCTGTAGTAAATATAAATATGAGAACATGTTTGTTTGAGATGTGTAAATAAAAATAAATGTTGAGACAAACAACACGTCTATCAGTTTCCAAACTTTTAATGTAAAAGACAAAACATACAGAATATGATGACATGAGGGGGAGAATGTTTTTTGCTCATTTGTCCTTCTCCTTCTGCTCCTTGTCCTTTTTGTCTTTCTCAGCCTTTGCCTCTTCAGCCTCGTGTCGCTTGATGAGCTCCTCGACTTCTTTCTGTTTAAGAACCTTGATATTTGTTTTCCCGTCTTCTCGTGTCAGGGTGGCAATCTCCACTGAGGTAGTAAATGTGATACACGGTTGTTGTAGTTATTGGAGTGTTGTTTTTCATTTTTAGGTACTTAAAACATCTTCTAATACCAGAGATACAGCCTGATGATTTTGATTTAATTACTTATTTCAGCAAAAAGCCTCCCTGTTTATCTGATATAAGTTGTTTTTTTGAATTTGTTATCTGTTAGTTTAGACCCTAGTTATAGGTATATATTATATAATACTGTCATTTCACGTGAATCAAAATGTACAATCTAAACTAAGTGAGTACTATGTGGTTCTCACCTTTTTCTGCCGAGAGTTTGCTGACATCCATCGTTTTGTTGAGGACTTTGACGGCCAAAGCCAAAGCAGAGGACAGAGTCATCTCTCCCTCTTTGTAGTCCTGCTTCAGCATGGACACAGCAGCCTGAGGCAAACAAGTCAATACATGAAGTCATCCCGAGGATACAGAGGAAGAGTAACTGAAGCTTAATGCAACTTATTGGTTGAACAAATGTATTCCCCAAAATAAATTAATTTGTTTTATTATTAATGCCTTATTTTTGGGTTACTAGATCAAATACAGTGAAGCCAAAACTGCAACAGTCATATGACACTTTATCTTATGAAAGCAATTTACATTCATAACTACTACAATCAAAACATTGTTCATACTCTTCTGTGCAACTGTCTAGTGTTATCTGTTGACATCATCTTACTGATTCTCATCACCCAAGACATTTCGGACTTACAGCGCTGTTGTTGCCGATGCACGTTGCCTTCCAGCCTCCGTAGTTGCCGCTGGGGTCACTCTGGTACAGCTGGAAACCGTAGTGTTTGTCCCAACCCATGTACAGCAGAGAAACACCAAACGGCCTCTTTCCTTTAAAAGACAAACCACACAGATGTTACAGAGCGCTTTAGCAACATTAAGGAATAAAAACGATAAATGAGACTAAACAACGTCCGTGCATTTTACCTCCAAATTGTGTGTAGGCTTGCTTGATGTCACACAGAGCTGTCACCAACTGCTCACAGGGAATTGGCTCCTGGTACTGCAATAAATACCTGGAGAGAAATTAGAGCTGGTCAACAGTTGGCGGTGAGTGTGATACATGGCAAGAAAGTTTCTCACGATTTTATTTGCATTCTCTAAGGAAATGTTATTCTTAGAATTAGACCTGATATATTAAGAGGTATATTGGACAGACCTAAAATTGCCAGGTTTTCCTCTTGAAGCTTACCTCTGTGCAATTAGCCGCAGTTCATTTGTCAGTACATTGGCATCTGATGTGATCCCGGCAACACTGCATGCCATGTCTCTGAAAGACACAAGCACACAGGATCAATAGAATGTTAGAATAACCGAAGTGCTTCTTCAACTTGAAGTCTGCAGTTCAGCTCACTCACTCATTGAGCTTGTAGATCTTCTCGGAGAAGAAAACCTCATCGAGCAGTTTGTGGATGTTGCGTCTCTCTGCTGCTAAGAGCACTCCGTCGTTTGCTAGAATCCCCAGACATGTGCCAGCATGGCCGATGGCTTCCATGGCGTACTCCACCTGATACAGGCGGCCTGAAAAATGTAGTCATAAGGTTTCAATTGACTTTTCTCTCTAATCTAAAAACTTTAAGACTTGATAATATGAAACACACATAAAATAGTTTTGACAGAATGAATAAAACAATTCACTATGAGATGTGGATAAATGTTAGAAAGTGAACCACCTAAGTGGAACTTCAAACTAGTGAAACTGGGTTAAAGTTCAAAGACCCTTTGGTTGGATCCATCCTTCCACATCCACAAAAGTTGCAGGAAAGCAGCATTCAATCCACAAAACATGCAAACTGTAAATTCTAGACAAGATCTGATATCACTTATTATTAACTACAGTGATTTGTGAAGAAACTGCATAATGTGATGAACACTACAACAAAACAAAACCACTTGCCTTCAGGAGAAAATATCGTTGTCCGAGAATCATATCTGCGAGACTACACAATAAAAGAAATAACAGGTTAGCTTAAAAGAAATCCCACACAAGACATATGAAGAACTAAATCCTGCAGAGTTTAAAGGCTACTTACCATTTTTGCACGTCACTGGGACTTTCCTGCAAATTATACAAACAAATGCTGTTATAAACTGGTGCAGGCAGCAGAAAACTCAACACTTGCTGTTGTTGCACATTGAAGCTGAGGTCCTAACACTGTTTGAAGCCAACGTTCAGCTCTGTTACAAAAGCAAGATCATATCGAGAGAACACAACAATCGACTTGTTGCATCTGGAACAGACTGTTCAGATTGAACACATGAGTCAAGTTAGATCTATATATCAAGCACATTACAACACAACAAGTGCTTTACCATCACTGCAAAGAAAGGTAACACAAGCGTGGATAGAGAATTAGATGTATAATGTTAGAAATGAAGTCTATGGAAAAAGGTAAACAGTAAAAGGGCAAAGAAACAGACACAGATACGGTGAAGTGCTGATGAGCATCAGAAGAACTATAAGACAGACTGGAGCTGGATCACAGGACAGATTCAAAGACTGGGAAACACACTTCTTCTTTGTGGATGTTAAATAAAAGACCAAACCGTGAATTGACTATTCTCTGGACTCGGTATCGGTGGTCTTCCCTCTGTACCACTGTGTACAGCAGCTAGCTAACTGATGCTAAACAGAATGAATCTGCAATATCTCAGTTTGCTAACCGGCTAGCATGCTACCAAGCTAGTTCCAGGATGAAAGCCTCCCCCCCCCGCCCCCTTTTGACTAGAACACCGCAAAGTGACGGTGCGACGCAACGGGAAGTAAAATCAAACAACGCTGATGTTAATAATTAAAAAACGAGTCGTTAGCTCAGATTAAAGAAGGAAACTCTTCTCACTTCAGCCGCAGACTCAGCGATGCTGCACTTTCAGTTTGATGCTTCCTCACACATACCGGAAACTGAAGTAACACGCTCACCAGCGCCACCTGTCAGCGGGAGGACCGCAGGCCGGCCACAGTGCGACCATGCTCCATTGTTGTTGTTGTTGTTGTTGTTGCTGTTGCTGTTGCTGTTGTGAAAATAACACACTCCATTTAATTGCATTTTATATTTATAGCATCACCACATCACATACATTATTTCAATGAACTCTTGGTGGCATTGGACAGGGAGAGATAACTGTTGTATTTAAGCACTGGACATTTATATATTTAAAAAATATATAACATCATTTGACAGCAGCATCAATGCGTAAAAAGTTACAATGATGATAATGTGTAATAAATTGTAGCCGAGTAGAAGATCTGGATTGTGCAGCTCTGGAGTCGCATACCTGCAGAATGAGAACAGGGAGACAAGCTGTCATGTTCTTTATTTAGAAAAAAAAGATATTGAATCATTACATCAATCATTTCATCAGCCTGAATAAAAAGTGATACGTTAGTAACATTTAAATTATTATCTACCAGAATAAATCCGTTTGAATGTACTTCTTTACACATTTCATAATCTCAAATGGAAATAATTTTTAAAAAGTGTTTGTGAAAACCAAAAATTGCCACCGACAGTAACATATGATATAATTAAATGTGCTGTAGAATATCAAATATACGGCAAGATGAAATATTAAAAAATCAAACAGTGAGTTCAGTGAAATCTGAACAACACTTTGCTTATGGAACATTAATTACTCACTAAAATCCTCAATGAGTTTAAAATCCTCAGCAGGCTGTCGGCCTCCTCAGATAATATCTATCACATGTTACTTCAATGTAAAAACTTGACCAACTTCAACCACAAATAAACTCTTTTATGTTGAATGAACCAAATTTCTGTCTGTACACTCTGTATTTCACAGACTTTGAGCAGAGTGAACCCTCTTTAAGATACTAAACCAAACAAACACAAAGACAAGCTTTTCCTCCAGCAGTGAAACATCTTGTCAAACAAATGTCTGGAAGAACAAGAAGTCAAGAGACTGCTGGACTCACCGGATGTTCACACGAGAGAAGAGTCTGAGATCAGCTGCTACTGGACCAGCTGCTGTGCGGCCATCTCTCCACAGGGAGGCGCCATCGTGACTTCTACTCCTCCGTATTTAAAGGCAGAAAGGCGGGATCACTGAGATTGGAGACTTTCTGTCTTTGATATAATTTTTACAATATTTATTATCCATTTAATTCTCACTCCTATCTGTGGAATTCAATTGCTAATGTGCAATGGATTCCACTGTATATATATTCTGTTTCAATTGTAAATATAATTTCTATTCTATTTATATTTTATACTTCCATGCTCTTATATTGCTTGTCACCTTATTTATTGCTTTTACCAGTGTCTATTTTCTGACTATTATTACTGCACCACAGCAAAAGAAATGATATTTTTTATAACAGTGACTCATTGGATCTGTGTTCCCATGTTGAATCTGTCAGCTTATTCTTAGCTATTTGTTTTGAACTGAGCAGATTTTGACAAATTTTGCCAGTCATTTTTCTCCATGCTGTTTTTTGCCTCTCATTTTGAAAGTTCCAGATCTATGTGTTATAAAACAGGTGTTTTATTTTGAATAAAATCACAGTGCCAGATAGTCCAAGGATCGACCAACGATTACTGATCAGTTGTAATTGGATGTTTGTGCTAAATTCAGTCACCAGATGGCAGTTTTCTAAAAGAATGAAATACAGATCCCATTTTTAAAGAAATAAACTTCAGTCCCAAGTGGCAGCCTCGAAAAAGAGTTTTTATTTCCGACACGGGAAATCGAACAGAAGAAAACACTTAAAATGCTGTCCCATTAAAATGAAGAAGATACATTTATTTGTTTAGCATCACAGGAGAGTGAAATAAACTGAAATGAGTTGACATTAAAACCATTATTTTAGAGATACATTCTTTAATTGTCACAAAAAGTAAGACAGGTCTGGAAGAAGAAGATGGTTAAATCAAGGTTTGGGGTTATGCTTATCGCCATAATCAATAATAATTTGTCTTTATAGAAAAGTGACAACATCACAAAAGATTTTTGAGATATATTTGAGTATTCATGAGATACAAGTGATTTCTTTCAATACTAGATATTGTAGCTGTTATGTTTCATTCCATGAATATATTTTATTAGACACATTGTAATGAATACAACAACACATAACAAACCACAACCCTCTGTCAGCCATCAAATTACATTACTCACACTATGATCTGCAGTGTAATTGTTTTTCAGTCAATGTTAACTTGTATATTTAAGTGTATATTGTTATATAAAAGGCAAAAGCAACTCATTTTCACCAAGTCATTAATTTGGTTAAATGTTTGGTCGTGTACAACGTGACTGAATCCAAATATATCTGCCCCATGAGTTTCCAAATTGATCGTCTGTGCCAATTGTGGTTGGTTTAAATGTTTACTTCCAATCAGGCATTAACTGTGTTTTCAGATGAGGCCCTTAATTGAAAAAGTCTTTAGAGATGGCCTCGACAAAGTTGGGCGCTGACATAAGGATTCCGATGGTGCAGAGGATTGTGAAGATTGAGAAAGTCATGAGACAAAGCCTGTCAATCACAGCCGCGGCAAATTTCCACTCGCTGCACACCGACTCATTCTCGTCTTGGTCGTGAAAGCGCTTGGCAATGTAACGCACCTCCTCCAGGATCTTGGCCAGCTCTGGTTCCACGCCGCCCACCAAGGAGCCCTGAGCTTTGGGGAGGAGAATCTCTTCTTCACCCGTGCGTCCAGGCAGGCGTCCACACAGGGCGACGGAGTCCGGCGAGGTGGCGCCAACATAAAGGGTTTTGCCGTTGGTGGAGTGGGAGGCCGGGGTGCTCGCAGTGAGCTCCATGCTGCTCAGGCTGCTCCGCTGGGCCTTGTCGTGACAGGCTGAGTGGACTCGATCCTCACCAGGACGCTTCATGCGCAGGAACCAGGCGCACCAGTTCAGCAGGATCACGCGGGTCTTTGGGGTCAAACAACAGAATTCAATGATTTAAATTGAAGACTGAGGATGAAGCCAGTCGTCAAATTTCTTCAGCAAGAATCAGCTGTAAAAAACATGGAGGCGTCCGTGGGCATGACCCACAGAAAATATCTGTTTCTGATGTCATCCTCAAGACCTGTCAGCATGTTTTCAATCAAACTTGATTTGATTGATATTTCAGTTCAGTTTATCAATTAAAATGAATTGCTTTAAAGGAACGTGTGTTTACCTGGATTTTGTGGATTATTAATAAACACCGGCTGTGGGAGATAAGTCGAGTTGAGTGGGTGACCGCAGCATTTTCCTTCTTATCAAAAACTCTGATAAGATCAATGACATTTGATTTAATTGTGAAAGAACAGCAATAAAACCCTGAAACTCATAGAAACAGAGCAGGTTGATGTTTGTGCTTGTATACGTCAAAATGTAATGCTTTGCCTGAAGAGCATTTTGGAAACGGTAGGAGCAAGAGGAAAGGTTCAGTTTAGTGTATTTACTATAACAATGTCAAAAGCATCATAATCAAAAGCAAATGTTCTGGATTTATCATAATATTGATAATGCACTACTAAAGTGCTGTTAATGGGGTCACAGTATGAGGGTGTAACATGACACGAAAACTCACCCATTTCGGCATCTTGCCTCCGTTGGGGTCATGGTGATGATACTGTAAAACCAGAACTGTAGCAATGACTGAGACGCCGACGATGACCATGGTCGTGGCAAAGTACTGAGCTGCGTGCAGAAGAAACAGGGGAGAACCGATGCAACATTTGCATCATGCTGTAAAACTCATGTTGAGTAAACAAGCGGATGAAAAGGAAAAAGCAAAGCTCACAGCCCGAGGGAGTAAAACTATCTTCTGGCCTCAAACGGACGACTCCCTTTATGTTTGTCAGAGAAATGCAACCATTTGAATTATGGTGACTCTGATCGCTGAATAAAAAAACCTAAGTAGTGCAAAGCTGCTTAAACTTAGTAACATTGTGATATGAGAACTCCTGATGATTTCTCACCCGTGTCCTCCCACCGATGCAGATGACACCCATAGCAACTTAAGCCTGACTTACCTATTAAAGGCACTGAGTCGGAAGTGGCAGGCATAATCTCTGCAACCAGCAGCATGAAGACAGTCAGGGAGAGCAGCACTGTGATGCCTGGGGAGGAGAAGCACATCTGGCTTAGTGCTTCAGCGCAACTTCACCCACCAGTCACCATTTTATTCTATACAGGGTTTATGACCTATACTGTAGTCAGACACCAGGGGGCGATAAAGGTGATTTGGCTTCACTTTGTGTGATATGAGCTGCGATTAAAAGTGTTCAAGTCAAAGAATTATGATTTTTTTGGACCTGCAGAAGTTGAATGTTAGAAGTAAGAGATTCTTTTTCATTCTTTGAAAAACACAAATAAATACACAAACAGTAAAGTGGGTTATTTATTTTTTGAGTTTTCTGTTACGTAAATTATTTTCGTTTTCAGACCCAGTTCATTTGTTGTTTGTTGTTGTATCTGTTGTTCCCATTACGTTCGTATTTTGCATTAAGTCCAATTTATTCAAGGCATTTGTTCATATTCTCATGTTAATTCCGCCTTGTTTCAGATGTTACGCTTCTCTCTCACACTGGGATTCTCCACCGGAACAAAGTGTGAAGGAAAAAATCCCCAAAACCAGAAGCTGTTAAAGCTGATCACATGTCACATCACCACACCGGAGAAAGAGGGGTCTTTAAAAAACGTGTGAGAAATCACTGAGGGCGGATCAGGTGAAGAGTTTTAACTAATGAGTTGACATCGTAAAGCCTCTGCCTCTTCCTCTTCCATTAACCACTAAACTTCTCAGCAAGATTAAGAGGCACATGCACTTAAAGGCCATTTATGATGATTGCTTCTGCAGCTTCATACACACGTGTATGAGCATGTGAATATTTGCAAATTACTACGAGGGATGCCTGCATCATTTCACGTATATCTATTACTGTATTTTAAAAGAGTGTGTTTCTACTGAGATTTTTCTAAAAGAGCCCTGACATCATGGAGCTCACTGCCCATTGAACTCTGACTCTAGCTTCTTTTAAATCCCTTCTTTTTGTACATGCTTTTCAAATGTTTGACATTGGCTCTTATTTATACCAATCCTACTTAATTCATTATTTGTTCTTATTCTTTTTTCAGTTTTTCTCTGCTCAGGTTCCTTTGTCTGATTCTTAATTTTCTTTCTATCCTTTTTAAGAAAAGTGCTACATAAATAAAGGTGATTTTTTTTTATTTACTAGAATAACCATTATTATCATTATTGTGATTAGATGCCATATTGGACAACATATTTAATCTTTTTGATTTAAAATGGATCACTTAAACATTTCACTGAACTTCTATGAAATAGTTACTAACAACTTTTGCAACACCCTTATTATAAATAGACAATGGACAGAAACACCTAAATTACACTTGATAAGGGTGAATACATTTTTGTATTGACGTGCAGTAAATTGTATGTTATTTCAATTTCTTTCTTAGTTTTCTCTGATGAAGGTAGACATGCTTAACAAATGAATTCAAAGTGCAGAGATTAGACTGAAGCTTTACACACAAAGTAAATCTGTTAGTGTTGATCCATTTGTGCGTTTTACAAATCATTTCTCAACGAGGGTTCACCGTCCTGAAATAATGTCAACAACGAGTGGCTGGGTTGAACACATCTGGCTCTGGCGCAGTGTTTAATGGAGGAGTCCAGCTGTGGCTCTGGGCTCTAATGATTTGCAGAAGGGACATGATGCATAAATCAACACACTTCCTCTTCCATCCCCACACACAGTGTTCACACACAAACACACACCGACACCACTGATACCAACAGATTCACAGTCGACATAAAGCCTCTACAATTTGTGCAGTAAACTTTCAAGTCATCTGTGAAGAGCTTACCACTTAGATTGAGAAAGACGTGGCCCGATTACGATCTCATTCATTTCAACTGTTACGACATATAGATCACAGTCACCTCAGCAGGGAACCAATGTTATGCTCAAGTAAAGTGGAAGATTTTAAGAGAAGATTATGAAATTTCAATGGTCACAGTTACAGTATTATAAAATATTTGGGAAATGACTGAGAGAACAGAGGGAAGTAAATATATTTCAACAAAAGAAGAAGAGCCAACATCTGTCCTGAGACCTGAATTACTCGCTTCAACTGAACACTCTTCCACCTACCAGAGCAGGGCAGCATGACATATTGACTGAGAAGTGCATTTCAGGTCAGTGAGGTGCACAGAGGCCGTCTGCCAAACTCATTTTACAGTAGAAATCATCTGTGCGGCCACGGTACACGGAGAAGAGCAAAGAGAAAGAATCTACTTCATTTGTCTTTTGAAATAATTAAAGTTTCAGTAAAAATCTATCTACAGCTTAAGACTTTGTTTATCTACATTTAGAAGTACAGCGATGAAAAGAAACCAGGGTTATTTGGCTGCTCTGTAAAGACGCACTGGCAGAATATTCCTGAAGAGTGAATGACAATGTGATTAGTCAAGCGCCTGTATCAATGGGATGCGTCGTCCAACTGTCTATGGTGTCAACACTTTGAAATTAAGTTATTATTGTTTTTAAGGTGGCTTTAAGAGATTCTCATTTCCGCTCTTGTCAAATCAATTCAAGTACTCGGGTGAATCACAACCTGTGCCACTTGTATTCACTGGGGTTTGTTGCAGATCCAGCTCAAGAGGCAGATCACACGAAAAACAAGCTCATTCATGGGACATTGTTCAAAAGTACCTGACAAGGGTCCTCTGAATTTTGTTTTATTAGTAATATTGGTATTTTGGTTTCAATTTTACACAGATATTGTAGCAAAGATATAAACCAACTTTAAAATTTAAGGCAACCATACGCAAAATCACACGTATGTAATACTATAGCTTACAATTGAACTATATTAAAAAATTACCAATCTGACACATGCACTGTAGTTTTTATTTAAATTAAAGAAAAAGTTGATTTAATTGATTTTTCAAAAACCATCCCGGAATAAATATTTGAGATTTCTGTGCTGCAACTAATGACATTGTCAGTATTTCAGTAATGTTGCCAAAAATAAAAGAGTGTGTGTGTTTCTCTGAGAGCGTATTCCTCTGACCCAGTGAGATCTTCTCTCCAGAGTCAGCAGGCAGGAGGAAGACGAGCAGAGCCAGAGTGGAGATCAGGACGCACGGGATGAGCAGATTGAGGCCGTAGTAGAGGGTCCGTCTCCGCATCACCAGGGTGAAGGTGACATCGGGGTACGGCTCCGGACAGCATTCGTAGGAGCGTTCGTTCTTCTGTCCTGTAATCTCTGTGAGGTCAAACAAAAAACACAATCTGCTACAGCGGAACTGGAGTAAAAACTATTCTCTGCACTTTACCCCTCTTACCAACAAGATCCCACTCTCCGTTGGCGATGTAGCCGGTGATATCTGGCTCCACCATCTTCAAGTCCAGAGACCAGCCGCCGTACGTCCAGGAGCCAAACTTCAGTTCACATTTCTGCACGTCAAAAGGAAACCAGCGCACGTCGATGTTGCAGGTGCTCTTGAAGATCCCTGTTGTGTGTTTGAAATGTGACAAGATCAGGCTTCGACGTGCACTGTGCTTCATGAGGCTACTGAAGAGAGGGACACGTGGATGTAATTATATTCTCCAGCTGTGATAGAGTGTCTACAAATACACAGTGGTAAACCAGGCGGTTGCTTGAGAGAGGTATTACTTAGAGAAGATTTGGGAGTTCAAGCTTCATCCATCCTAACGAGAGAAAGAAGAAAAATCCAATATGACAATTATATGAAAGTGGCCAGTAATCCTTCAGCAGAGGCTGACGCCAAACCAATTTGCCTTTGTACTTCAGAAAGATATGAGACCTTGGCAGTAAACAAGGTTTCTGCTCTGTCTCAGAGCCGCAGAGATTATAAACCTCAGCAGGGAGGAATGGAGATGGAGAGCAGGCAAATAGAATGACTCCAATTTACAGCAATGAACCTCAATGAAAAAGACAAATGTAAGGGGGGAGGTCATATCGGCATATTAGTTTGACTCATTTAATACAGTGCCAGTGGCAAATTGCCATTTTGAGCCAATGTGGCATTTAGCGAAGGGCTCGTTTGGGACAAAGTTTCAAGGCAATTTGCTCCCAGCAGAGGTGATCGATGCAGAAGATATTCAGTGATGGAGCTATTTACGCTGGCATTGATTAAGATGCTGAGGTGTGGCACACTGACGCTTTTGCGTGGTCAGGGAAAAACAGGAGGATAGGAGCCTGCCAGGCACAGCAGCAATCACCAGCTCTGGCAGTAGAGCCCTCTGTGTCATTGTGTTCCCGTGCACACAACATACAAAAGAACCGATGGTTTCGGAGAGTGTCATCCATCACTCACGACCGCAGAGATCTGGCAGACGTGTGTCAGAGGGGGTTTGATCAGGAAAAGAGCTTCACTGCTCAAAGCCTCAGTGATGGTGATGGATCCGTGTGTTCGGAACATTTGACCTTAAATTACTGTTAAACTGGAGCCAGACCATTTGAAAACACAGGTCAACAGTTCAACATTTTACTGAAATACACTTGTTGGCTTTCTACTCGAGGGTTATGGTTAATTTATGCGCAACTTTAGATACAACTCACGTTAACTAAGTGGGCGCTTTTGCCTCTTTCCTTAGCGATACATGCGTCGCCATGTTTGTAGTTGTCAGAAACTCTCTTATCTGTGTTGCCCGTCAGTGGATGTATTGTTCAAGAGTCAAGGACACAAGGAGGAGGCATGGAAGTATGCCAGCAGTGTTGTTTGACAAGACAAAATAAATCAAAACACAGATTAGCTTAGCTTCCAATAGAGACAGGAAACAGCTGATGAAACAAAGGAAATATGACGTGGTGATTTTCGGGGCCATTTCAAGTTGCTATCAGGTGAATGTTGTGTTAACCTTTTGGGATTTTCCTCCGAAACACTATGACGTGGGTCATTCACCTGGAAACTCTAAGCTATAGACTGCAGCTATAGACTGCAGTAGAGGTAATAAAACCCACCTCCTCGATGTTAGTGGATAGAACAAATACATTTTCTTGAAGATGGTTTCTGTCAGTTTAAGTTGTTCATGGATGGGACGAGTTTCTCTGTGTGTGGTCAGGTTAGATTGCTATAATTCAGGTAAACATATATACTTTTTGCTGTAGACTATTCTAAACTCTCTTCTCAGTTATGTTTCGCATGTTCTACAGCTGGAGGTTTTTCTAAAACAACACATAACATGACTGGCATGTTATTTCCTGTGAAAGACGATGCCAAGCCTCTGAAAGGTCACAGCAGTTAAAATTATCTTTCTGTTGAGAGTCTTAATGCTTTCCAGATGTTCACATGTCTCCAGTGAGTCAACTCTCACTTTCAAAAAGCTGTATAGACTCTGCACAGTTCTTGGTGATAGTTCCTTCTTGAATGCATCGACTAAAAATCATCGACTTGGATTTTCAATCATACAAACAACAACTATGACACAGCGTGGGACAGTTATTTTCCAGAGTAGCAATTAGAACACTACAAAATGTATAATCAATTCCTGCCAACAGATCCCAGATATCCTCAACTATATAGTTTAATAGGCATTGTTTGAAAAAGTTTTTATTTCTTTTAACAATACGACAGATTTATGTCTGTTTTATTAATTTTCCAATGGCAGGTCAATGACATTTATTACAGCAACAACAGTTAATTTTAAATCCTGCAAAAGAATATACTGATGTATTTTCTTGTGTAACAACATCTGTTAACTTTGGACTCACACTGAGATTTCAGATCCGTTCTCCATCACCTGTTTTATCCATTAGCACTCTACAGTGGAGGCCGAAAGTCTCAGACTCCCCACTGGGAAGTGCTCTCACTTTGTGTTTATATTGTTTTCTGTGCTGTTGTTAAAAACACATGTACATTTTATTGTGGAATCCATGTGGACAACTAATGGTATCCTGTTGGATGCAAAAAAAAAAATGGGATGCAGCCATAAAATACAAAACAACCCAAAATAATAATTCTCCCCTTTGGTTTCAGCTTTTTTCTTAGAGGGACACAGGGAATTGAAAGTACATTTAAAATCATCCCATTTAATTCCAGCCAGAGTCCCCATCTGACTTTAACTGTATGTACACACCTCGTCAACCCCGGAGGGGGAGGAGAGTCAAAAGTTGATTTCCTTTAAATTAAATGAATATAATATGTTAGCCATAATTGTTAAAAGCTTCAACAATACTTGTGTAAGATGAGTTTAATTTTTTAAGTATTCAGTTTTCCTGCATTTTGGTCAGTGGTCAGTTGTCCTACGTTCTGATGCTGGAAAGTGAGAAAGAACGAGCAGTGTCAGTGCTCTTTTTTCACCCACAGCCCTGAAGTGGTTTTATGTAAGTTTATTCACTTAAGACAAAGAGAAACCAGTCTGACACTAGTAACATTTGAAATATTACCATGCAAATAATCAGCAGCTCTCTGGTTTTCTTTGTCTCCATGTGACTGCACATGTGATGAAGACAGATTAGTGACAGCTTCAGTTGCAGCAGTGTCAGTTTACAGCAACACAGGAAACATTGCAACATGTGCACGAAGGGGATTTTCTGTTTTTGTGAACTATACCTCAGAGAAATATCCCTCTGAGTAATGCTGGTCACATGTGTGCAGCACGGTTACTTTGGGGGCCGAGGGGCAGGAAAGTTTGGGAACCCATGTTTTACTTCTCATCATATATCATCTTTCCATATTTTCTTTAATGTTCTGGAAATAAAATAAAGATTTAGTTGTGTAGCCTGTTTTGAAATTGCATGTTTAATTTTTTATTTAGATGCTGTTTTCTAGTAATTTATATCAGTTGTTCAGCTTCTGTTTAAATTATTTCCATCAGTAAAGATACCTGAGGAATGAAGCAATGATTGTGGTGGCAATTTCTGTGAAACAAGCACAAAGTCAAACACTTCTTTCTGAAAGTTTAATTCAGCATCTGCAGATGGACTCATCAGTACACATCACCTGAATGACATGCACAAATGAGCAAAGAACATAGGAGAATCAGTGTTCTTATAACTCTCAGCCCCCTCCCACTAAGCATGCAAAGGTATTTATTACCCTCTTGTAGTTTCACTCAGTGGAGGAGACATCCTGTCCATTTGTGGACATTTCCAATCTGGTCTTTGTGTATTGCTGAGTGAGATTGTGATTCTTACCTGGAGGTATGAAGGAACAGCCGCCCGAGGAGTTGACCAAAATGTTGGTGTGGAACGTAGCATCGAACCTCTCGTCTGCGCTGTGGGCAACAAAGAACTCCATCATTGTCTGCTGGGTTATTTTTCAACCCAAGTTCAGCTTTGGTGGAAAACACCATAATAAATTCATACACAGATACAAACTTTTTTTGAGAAGAGCTGCAACACACAGCCACGAGGAAAAATATTTCTCTAACTGTAATTTATTGCAGCAGGTTCAGAGCATGCGAGGAGACACAGCGGATGAAACGTTTCCCTGGAGACCGGTTACTCAGTGGTTACCCCCGTTCTCTCCTGCCACCAACTCCTTCTGAAGGAACTCCCCAGAGGTTGAGGCAGGGGTGAGCTGGAGTTGCTTGACAAAGGAAAAAATAAACTTAACTTGCAGCGGCAACTGATTCAAAGAGTTTCAAACCAAGGGGCAGAGACAAATGCAGTACAATGCCTTTCCCCTCATTAGCTGATGGAGGTGATTTGTTCAAATCTTTAATTTGCAGATTGATTAATGGTTATCTCTTTAGCATTTACCATGAGGGACACATGGTTAAATGCTCTTTCTTCCATCTGTCTTATACAGTTATTCATTTGTCTAAATGATTTACTGCTTAAAGGAGGAGAACAGAACCTGTGAGAGATATGGACAGTGTGGACAGTTGTTCTGTTACATCCTGGTTCTCCTCCCCTTTCTTTCTGCCTGTCCTCGTTTAGGTTCTGATTGGATCCAGAGATTTGATCATCGTTACTTAAATCAACGCCCATTAAAATCCCCTCCATGTTTTCTATTGAGACTTTGGAGTAAAATCTGGCTCAAGAATTTTCTTCCAGATCAATAAAGTTTTATCTTGTCTTCTCTTGTCTCATTTGTGAAACCAATTTCATTCACAAAAATGACACCAGAGCCTCAACTCCTGTGGTCAGCAATAGGCTGTGATGAAAATATAATCTAGAAAAAGTTCTCCAATTTTGTTGTAGGTAATTCAGTAAATTCTATCTATTAGTTCTAGAAATCTCTGTCCGCGGGTTGAATATCTCGAGAACCATTGATATTCAGTGTGATACAATTCAATATTAATAAACTTTGGCTGTAGCAGCAGCTGGGATTCATCAACAGAATCATATCGTGCTGAGTCCGACACAATGCATATCCAATTACAGTGCAGTACCCGGCTTATCTGCTGGCTGCAGCCCACAGTACAGTGCCTACCTGTTATAGAGCAGAATGTCTGGCTTCCAAATGAGATTTTCCGGAAATCTCAAATGGGTCACCCCTGGATACTCCTCTGGATTCCACTGGAGGTAAATATCATTCCAGAACTGTGGGTTACAGACACATACGATTCTTTAACACATCCCTCAGACCTGTTCACAGCTCGGTGTCTCGAGCTGGAAATCAACAACGGTGTGTTTTTATAGCAGTGACAGTTGCTGTAATTGGTTGAACTATTGCAGTGTCTGTTCTGGCTTTTTGGAATGGGCTGTTCTCTTGTCCTGTGTTGATGCTCTGGAGCTACTTCAGAATTACACCATGTCGTCAGTGAGTCCTCCTCAAACACTTCTACAATATACTGAAAGTATTTATCGTTCATCCTACCTGGTTTATCTTCAACAGAGATTTTAGAGTCAGTGTTTTTCAAAAAATTAAACTGAATTTGCTTTGTATGCTTTATAACATATCACTTGTCCAGATCGCATGAAATTTGACAATGCACTTCTGTGGGTCATTATCAATACCCACCCCATGTGTGAAGCTGATTATTGAATTAGTAGATACAGTAACTAGGTGACGGCTGCTGTTAGTAACATCACGCGACTAACAATCTGCAATTAAGGAGGAATATAATTTATTGTTCCAAGGAATATTGGATTTTGCAAGTAAACACTTTTTTAAACACAGTTTGCACGGCCACAAGAAGACCCGGACAAAATGGCTTGTCCCATATCCTTCATGTATAGTGTGTCTTGAACTAAGAGCTTGGTTCTAGCATGCATGATTGAGTGTGTAATCTTAAAGAGGTGTCCCTCAGAGTGTCCTTCAGAGGTGAAAGCATCTTTTAAAAACTTTCTTCCTTGGAATCAACACAAGACGCTGACAGACGCTGGATTCAATTTTGCGGCTGTGATTCCACACTGTGATTTAAAACGGACCAAACGGCCTTGATGCAGCTTGCTGACAGTGCAGCGGCATGGAACTAGTGTCACACAACAGACAGGCCGCGATAAAACATTTGTGTTCATCTCACTATGTGGAGGAGAAAGGAGCCTACTGCCCCTTTGGAAGATGAAAAGGAAAACCAGCTGATGTGATAAACAAGTTGTATGACCATTACAAAACATTCCAATGTATTATATTAGGAGATGGATACAATTCAATCAGGAGAGGCTTTAATTGAAAAATGAACAAAATGTATTGCCTTGCACGATGGAGGGGAAAGTAATGTGATATAAATAAAAGAGTGTGGCTGAGCATTTTGCAAATCAGCTTTTCTGTGACTTGATAACAAAGTACAGGGAAAAGTCTTACCAGTTGCAGCCAAATGTTGGTGGTTAAAACCTGGTTCTTCTCATCCTGTTAGAAGAAACATATTAATATTATTATGTTTAATATATTTATATTTCATTTCATTTAAAAATTCATGAATCATTCTACTCAAAAATAATAAATAACCACTCTAGCTTCACCTCTCAGGATAATGGTAATGACAAACAATGGCTGCTACATAGTCAAAACTGTAACACTAAGTCAAACAAACTGAATAAATGATGATGCTCCGGGAGTTTCTATAACAAGAAGCTTCATCTATGTCTCAAGTTTTATTCATCAGCTGTGCTAAAGCTTTTTCCATTAATTACACTTTGAATTCAAACACATGAATTATCCCAAATTTTTATATCCATATAAGATGCAAAACCTGGATCGGTTAGAAAAAGGCTTGACTAAAAAATGACAGAGTTTAGTTTCAGTTGAGAAGGAAGGAGATACTGATAATATCAAACAATGATAACTGATTACACGTATGAGGAGCTATTATTTACACACCACATCCATGATCTGCATGAGGCTGAGGCCGAGGCTGACGGTGAGAGTTTGAGTATCATTTTGGACTGGTCGCTCCAATGGCAGGTATGAATTCATCAGATCGTTGAGCAGTCTCCGCTGGCTTGGACCTTGATGAGAAACTACAGACGACGGAGACAGTGAATTTATTTTCATCATTACTTCAGGAAAGAATGAGAATGACTGACACTGTAGATCACAGATGTTTTTTAGATAATAAATCAAAAAAACACAAAAAACAAACTATATATATATATATATATATACAATAGCAAATGTGGACAAAATATCCCAAAACTGTGTGGGCCTTTTTTGGCAAACACGAGGTGTTCTATGCGAGGTGTAATCTGGATGTGAATCTAAAGTGGCCAATGTGGTAAATGGTGAATTTGGCCCAAATTGCACGAAACTAATTGGGGCCATCTTTGGCACCTCTGGTTGATGCAGTATTGCTGTGGCTAACTTGTGTTTCCATGCAAGCAGGAGTGCATCACCCCATTCAGTTAATGGGCTGGAAATGTGCCAAAACAATTTTGCTATGTGTATGTGTTGTACCCTGACTCTCATCCGATGTCAGCTGGTATTGGCTCCAGCTCCCAGAGAGACCCTCAAAAGCTTAAGCGGTATAGATGATGGATGGATGGATGAATTTTAACATTACAAAATACACTTGCAGCATCTCAGACCAGAACAAATGCTCCGCAGACACACGTCCACCCTCCATTCATGTTTTTAGCAGGCCAGGGAAAGCAATCCCCCTAAACCTGCAACTGAACAGATTTCCCCTGTGTGCAAGGGAACCAACATAAAAACTATCCAGCTAACTGGTTAAATGGATCTGCTCAACAGCTCAACTTCTCTGTGTGTTTCCAGATAAACACACTGGGACAATATTTACTCTACAGTGCTGAACTTGTTTCAGCTGTGGAAGGGAAGTCTCAGAAATGCCATAATTGTGACCATCTGCAGAGATGTTACCTAATAACCTATATATACATATATATATATTTCTTAACTTAAATTATGGCATATTCTAACAAATGGTTGATAAACCGTATCCTGCACATAAGGCAATCATCCAAATACAATAGCTGGACTGGATTCCTCGACAATCTCTAATCAGACCCGACCTTCATTTTAACACCCTCTTGTCTCCCCTCTTGAGTTATCGAGCACCTTTTGGCAGCATCTGTTCACTTCAATGATGGCCACGGTCCAATTATCCTAAACCACCTATGACAGGCTTGTCTGTGGGCATCGCCCCGTCCCTCTGTTCTCTGTTACATCCGCTTCTTACATGAACGACAGACTGAAAGATGAGCTGAAAGCACATCTTTGTCCATGTCCGAATCCCACGTGGCCCCACCCCCTCCCATCCCGACCATAATCAAATTTCAGTCTGGGCATCAGCGAGATGACAAAAATGTGTGGAAGTGTCCCAAGATGCTTCTGTAATAGATCTCAGTTAATTTAGTGTCCATCAAAAACCACACGAGGAACATCCCTGAAGTCGCTGGGAGCCAGAAACGAGAGAAGCAAAGCCTTTCTACGTCTTAATCAAATTTAACAGCACTAATAATGTCAGAAAGATGGACAATGGCTTTAAGTACATGACTTCTCTCCATCTGCTTCTCTGTATTCTACTCTCAGGGAAGCCTAAATTAACAAGAGCCAGTGAGTAAGTGCAGCCTGAAGAGCCTGAGTGGCTTCCATTACAATAATTAATCAATCAAAACATCTAAAATTCAGAGCGGATATGAGTAAAACTGATGAGACACATGCAGCACATCTGGAGGGTTTTCAGAGCTGATCACTATTTAAAGATAAGAGTTTTTAGAATTTCCATGGTTTTCATTCATTTAGAAAGGAAAGGAGGAAAGGAAGCAGCAGGGGGAAGTAAGTCAGACAGAAAGATGTGTTGACACATGTTCCAGTCAAACACACTGACTCTGAGAACTTTAAAAAGCATGTTAGAATGTGCAATGAAACCTGAGCTGAGAACAACATTATCCTGCTAAAATATACACTTCCTTCTCTTTCCGACTGCACATATTAGGCTGCTGCAAATTCTTAGAAGCACAGAACCTTTACATATGACTAGATAGATAGATAGATAGATAGATAGATAGATAGATAGATAGATAGATAGATAGATAGATAGATAGATAGCACATTGTTTTACTTTGTGTTGGTTCATATTTCTCCTAAATGTTAAAACTTAGAATCAAACAACAACATTGTTCCCAAAAACTCAGCAGGCAGTGTGTGTGTGTGTCTGTGTCTTTGTCTGCGTGTGTGTATAGGGGTGGTGGGGGGGTTGCATATCGATCCAGGAGGTAATTAAACACAGAAAAATGCAAAATCCACAAGAAAAGAAAACGCATCATCCTCTGATAAAGATCCTGCGGGTTGAGAGAGTGTGAAAATGAAAGTGTGTGTGTGTGTGTGTGTGTGTGTGTGTGTGTGTGTGTGGCGCTTTACCTCTCACTGAGCAGGCGGTGACTGCAACGACGAGAGCAAAGTGTAGTAACTCCATGATGAGCCGAGCGAGGACTGAGAGGAGAGCACACAGACCCTCACTGCACCCAGAGTGTGTTTCTGTGTGTGTGTGTGTTTCTGTGTGTGTGTGTTTCTGTGTGTGTGTGTGTGTGTGTGTGTGCGGCAGCAGATTTGTTGTCTCAGTGACTGACAACATTATGAAACATTCTGTTTCATCGACCATGAACCTGATAAAAAAAAAAAAGTTTCTCTCTCTCTCTCCATGTATATTGGCTACAGATACTTTTTATGACTTTTATGTCCCTTTCTGTTTTTTTCCGTCTCTCTTCGTCCTGTCTGCGGGGACATATGTACTTTTACTGGATTGTCCTCTATTTATGTTAATTTCTTTTGGCTCGAACATGATTATGAAAAACTTGAGCTGTGCGTCAGGAAGGGAACTTTGTTATGAGCTGGTTTTGTTTGCCAAGCTTTGGAGAGATGGGCAGAATATTATATTTAAGTTGTATAAGCATTTGTAATTTTGTATTGAAGTACTATACATATACAAGTTTGACAAGTGGAACTGGACCATTTGGTGTCTTGTGAACCCATGAAGGTTGGGCCCTATGTGTGCATGACATGACAATAAAAATGAATAAACAAATGAAAACAGATATAAGTGACAAAAAAACCCTCTAAACCTCCATTGTGTTTTGTATATAACCCATAAAGTATAAAGCACAATATCATTTCATTTTGAAAAATCCAATCTACTTATCTACTGCATATTTCTTTATTACTTATATTTAAAATGTAGTTTAAATTAATTACACAGAGAAGCTGGAAAAGTTGGACAGCATCTCTGAGACTGAGCTGCAATCTTTCATTACATAATACTAATAAAAAAAATAAAAAAAGGCGCCATCTGCTGGTGAATAAAGTAACATTATTTTTTGAAATGGCTTGGCCTGGATTCTTCTATTCCTGCTGTTAATGCAAACAATTCTCTAAATTCAAATAATTATAATGATCTTTATTTATATGGCAGTTTAAAACAGCACATACTCATGCAGCACAATAACAAATGTAAACAAGTTAAAGCAAGATATTAAAATAAAAGAAGGTTTATTTTCCTATAAGAATAAAACCCATAAATTATCCCCTGAATTAGACCTAAAATTTAAAGTAATCTTAAATGTATTTAAATAGTAATGACATATTTTTTCGGAACAAAAAAAGGGAACACAAGCACAAAAACAATTTTAGAGTTGCACTTGACCTATAGTGATTGGTTATTGTGATTTAGTTGTCTATTTCATTTAATCATCTTTTGTCATGAAACACATTTCAGTTGTAATATTGCTGTTTATAAGTGATCAGTATTTTATAATACAATGGAATGTTATTGTTCCCTGTTGCAATATGTGTATGCTTTGTTGTACCATTAATATGTTGATGCCATATTTGTTTTTCTATATTTTGTGTGAGCATACAGTTTATAAACTTTATTAAACTATTACTGAGGGTTTCACTTTCTGCCTGCAGACGCTATTGCTGACGTTTGATTGGTGGGCTGGAAGGTGGGGGCGGAGACACGGAAACACGGAAACACGGAAGTAGGAAGTAGACAGAAGAAGGAGATCGATAAAACTACAGGAGCTGCTTGAACCTTTATTTAAACTCAGTGAAGAAACAATCCACAACATGAACTCTGCGCTGAAAAGACGAGGAAACTATTTTCCCAAGAAACCACCGAGGTCAGTGAGAGTCCCGGTGAATTAACGCCGATCAGCTGCTGAAGATGTTTGAATGACCCTGAGGATACACAAGATGGAAGCTGCTCTGTCGTCAGACGTCCCGTGGTCTGACGTTAACGTTGTGTATTAGTATTATTTACATTTACACTATTGTAGTGTTTTGTGGTGAATAAGGGGCCGTCTGTGTGTTTTTATAGTATTAAAGCTGTTCAACCTTCTGTTGATCACAGTGTTGCATGAGGCAGATAGACGAGATGTGATTTGTGGTGAGTTTTACCTGCTCCTTGTCTTCAGGCTGACTCATGCTGCAGGGTGACAGGTCAATGTGGCCAGATTAATCATTATAATACAGAAGGAAGCTGAATTTCAAGCAGCTCGGTTCATTGAGACAATTTTCCAAATCACAAATTAATTCAATTTACTATCATATACACAACATGCCAATTTAGATGTCGGTGACGTATCATTGCACTCTGGAAATTAAGCATAGAACAAACAAACAATTCTACTGGAATTAAAGCATTGAACGACTGAACAATTGGAAATCAAATAGGTTAATTTTTCATCTTTTTATTAACATGTAACTACAGTTCAGATTGTTTTAGAAAATGTTTTACTACGTCAGAAAGTGGCACCAGCGAGGTTTGTCACCATACATAGATCTGACAGATCGGAGGCTATTTGAAAAACACACTCATTGATTCCTATATACAGAAGTCGAGTCAATCAACCATAAAATGTGACAAATTGCATTGTGGGATGGTCGTTAGCTGAAAGTAGTGTGTATGCTAAAGACACACATTTTTTCATACGAATGTAGAATTTGTTCGGGCTGCGTAGAAGGGATACATTCACACATCCAGAGTTCAGAGTTTCAAATAAACTGTAATTGCAGTGGAGTTCAATCCATGTCAGTCACCATAGCAACAGCTGCAGGTGGCTGACCAGCCCTGATCTGTGAGGTCGCGCACTTGAGTTTCTCAGAACCTTTTTGTGGCTGGATTCATTTGCTATTTCATGACACACGTGTCCATCCTTATATGCGTGGACTCGTGTGGATGTCTGAATGGCGAGAGAGGGTTTGGGTCAGGAGGTCAACGGCGTGATTGCTTGTCTGTATTCAGAAGCAGCTTCTTTTGCTTTTCCCCGACCGAGCTGAGGTACTCAGTGTATTCAGCTGCACTCATCCTCTTGGTGACTGGGTTCAGCGTTCAATCAAAAATTGCAAATCTGCACAAAACGACTTGATTTGTTCAGCAAGTCCACCGCTGTTGACGGGGATTTTAAATTCAATAGCTCACAGGTGTTAAAGTGGCAGTATTTTTACCACATGGTATTTTTACTACAATTTGAAATCATCCCCCTCTCATCCTTTGCAATAACTGTCGGTCAAAAAAGCATCAAAGTCAACAATGTGATTGTATATAAAAGATAGACGATGCAAGATGAGGCCAAAACACCACGGATACCAACACTGCCATTGTGCACGTTTGAAGTCTGCGCAGTAGCGATTGGGGGATGGAGCCACGGTAGCGAAGACCTGCCTATACACACACGCTCTCGACCAATCTCGAGCCAGTCTCAGCTGTCAATAAGTATTTAAAACTAAATTTACTGTAAAAATGAACAGTTGAACAAACATCTGTGCAATAAAACTACCGAAAATGACAGAAACTATCTTTGAGAAACTGTATTTAACTTTGTCCATGTCCCATCCACTAACACGGAGGAGGCAGGGTTTATGACCCAGCTTCATTTTTGGGGGAGCTGTCCTGTCGTCCATCTTTATACACTGTCTATGGTTTCAGGAGTTGACTGCAGCAGTAAACACCATAGATAATGTTTTTGTCTGTAGTAAATGTCTGTGCTGCCTTTAGCCTTTATAATGTTGCTTTATCATGATGACTCACAGTCACTGTAAATGCCTGTTAACAGCAATCCTAGTGTTGTGAAGGACAATACGCCACCGAAGAAGAAGAAGACGAAGCACTTCCACTCGGACCTGTGGTTTATTCTGACTCTGGAGAACTGGATACTGGACTTTGCAAGGCCCATTGTCGTGGTGAGGAGACTCTGCACATTTGATTTAATCTATACCTCATGTTTTAAATAGTGCCAACAAATATAAAATGTGTGAACAGCAGTAGTTTCTTTTCTCATAAGATCATCGTTCCTCTGGAATGGTTTCCTCTGAACAACCTCAGTGTTGGAGACTACTTCCACATGGCCTACAATGTCATCACACCATTCCTACTGCTCAAGGTACGCAAAAACAAAATGTTTCATGAGCAGATCATTTCTTCTTCCACTCTTCAACTTTTCCATCTCTTTTGTAGAAGTGAGTGTCATCAGTCCATCACACTCAGTTCCAGAACTCTAGTTGCTCATCTCTCTACGTCATTCCCAATTGAAATGTGGCGTTTAGGTTCTTACAGCTGTCAATCTTCTGGTGTGGCCTCTATATTCCTGCTGTCAAAGTTTTGTGATACCTTTCCCCTGCCCTGTGGATGTTAGTCGTGATGTCACTGACTTGTTTTTTGGCTATTGTTGTCCGTGGCTGACTTGATCGATGTCTGTTGCTCAGTACAACAGTAGTTTCTTTCTTTGCAAATTGTTGTATTGGCTTTTTCCAGTGTTTGTGCGAAAGCACTGGTCGATTCTCCCTCTTTTATCCCACAGACAGCTCTCCACTATTCATATTGGTTTGTCCTTTTAACAACAAATGGGATCTTCATGGGTAAACCCAAGGCCAACACCAAAAGATTCAGAGCTATTTAATGTTTAAACAATCACTCTTAAAGGCATAGAAAGATTAAAAGGGTATAAAGGGAGATTATTTTCTAAAATAGTTTTACATATCTAGGTGGAAATACAGAAATGATGTGAACCTTGTCTCATTTATTTTCGGTGTATGACAAAAACAAGGTAATTGGCCTTGTTATTAATACACTAGTCGACTGATAATAGAGTTTGTGTGTTTCTGCTCTATTCAGCTGATTGAGCGCGGCCCCCGTGCACTACCTCGCTCAGTGGTCTACCTCTGCATAATTACTTTTGTCATGGGAGCCAGCATCCACCTGGTGGGAGACTCCATCAGCCACCGACTCATTCTCAGCGGCTACCAGCTCCACCTGTCCGTCAGAGAGAACCCCATCATCAAAGACCTTCAACCCGCTTCACTGGTAAGGTGGGAATACACTGGGAACACACAGAAGGTTGTCAACATTTTGTAAAAGATGTTTTCTCTGCTGTCATCACGGTCTGATGAGCGAAACTAGCATCTACCGTGTGAAAAGTCTAGACCGCAGCAATTACCTTTTAAATTGTCACACACAAAAAACACACACTCTTTGTGTTGCTCGTCTTTCACTGACTTAAAAAAAAACCTATGTCACAAACAGACAAACTGTTTATCTTGTCACACACATTCAAGCTGAATTTATGAGGCGGTGAAGCAGTGAAATCATTTTTGTTTCTGCGCCCTCATCGCTGTCACAGCATTTGTTGTCATGAAGATACTTTAGACTCATGTGATAAACACAGGACCAGTACAGTTTATACACTGGAGTTAAATCATGTTTCATGTTGACGTTTGATTTGGTGCGAGTGTCAAAGGTTTATTTCCTTCACCATTACATTTTGTGGCAGATCCAGCAATTATTTATCTTTTTACCACATTTTCACCAATTCCTCAGGGACTGTCTCATATATCTTGAAAAAAAACAAGCACATTGAGGAGATTGATATCTGTCAGTGTGCAGCTCTATTGGATTCAAGTAATTGAATCACTGTTTACATACACAAAAACTAAAAGATTGGCCAGAAATGATCAAACGTGTTCATATTTACTGCAATAAATGGAATTTAAACATCAAAATAAAGGAACAAGCAACTGAGATGTACTAAAACGTGTAATAATTATTCAGGTCTTTCTCCCTGGATGAATGGAAATGTCTGCATTTGTTATGTCTCTTCATTTCATCTTCATCTAATTATGAATTGTTCTGTCTCTGGATGGGATTTCTGCTCTTTTTGTAGTTAAACTGGTATTTGCAACAGTAGGTGGCACTGTTTCCTAAGGTAGCCAGCGCCACAGTGCTCGGTTCTTGACGCTAATGCAGCCGAGGGTTTCTAGTAATAACACAAGGCTTTTGTTCCTCTCTTCACAGATTGACTCCTTTGAGCTGCTGTATTTTTTTGATGAAAAGCTAGGACACTTCATGTGGTACGTGCTTAACAGGTATTTGTGTCTTGAAAATAAATAACTAGATAAAGTGCTGGGGAAGTGGCTGGAATGCAGCAGGATACAGGACAGAGTGGTTTGTGTCATTTTGTTCATTCATTTTCATTCTGAGAGTAATCCACGTCAAGTGATTTGAAAACACACAAAGGGAAGAATCCAATTAAAGCGTGTGTGAAGTGTAGATTCAGATCATTTTAACGCAGCGGACTCCATCAACACAGCAGGTAGTTATCAGTGGCTCCTTTTATATCTTAAAGTATCAAACAGATTTTAGATTGAGCAAACTCCATCCATTCATTATCTATAACGCTTACCCTCTGAGGGTCGTAGGGGGGCTGGAGCCAACGAATGAGCAAACTGATGTATAGTAATTGGGAAAATTTAATCCTACAACATGCAGGAGATAAGAGGGAGACCAGAGAAACTGTCTGATAACAGTTTGTTTGGAAACAACTAAAATCTGTATTGTATGGAAAGGAGCTTTATCATAAGAGGATAAGATCCATCGCTTCCATTTTATTTGCATAAACTCTTAGATTTTGGCAGCAAAGTGGCTCAATTGTCTGTTAACACTCTGGCATTAGGATTTCATTGTTGCACTGGCAGAATTTCCGTTTGCAATATGCTGGAACACATCCACGTCTGTGATGCTGATGTGGGATGTTTGTCAGCCCCCAAAAATCCATAACCTGTAAGTTACAGAAACCTATTGTTGACATTTATATACTATCTGATAATCTCATATCAGCCAAAGATTGGTCCAGTTCTAAAGGATACTGGTATTAAAGCAATAATACTCAGTGTATCAGGTCTCGGCCGAGCAGTGGGTGAGTCACCTTTCAGTCTGGAACTCATCTCTCATGCTGAAATGTGTGAGAGGAGAGAGGATTTCAGTAGTTTCTGTGTCTCTCTGTCTCTGTGCTCCCGGTCATTCTAGGTAGTCACTGTTATTTTATTTTATTTTTTATTTTTCTATGAAATGTCAAAAAATAGAGAAAAAATTCTCAGAGCTGAAGGTGACATATTTGAATAAATATATGAAAATGTCCCATGTAAAGAAAAGTAACTGTAGAATGCAGTACTTATCATTAATTCATTCTTTGAATAAAGACCAACTCTTCAGTGCGAAAGGGAATTTGAGATTTAGTGAAATGTTTTTGGCTCAGTCAGGTTCATCTGGGTTTTAAAGTGGAGAGTGGAGAAGATGCTTTTTTAAAGTATAATGCCGATAATCACATACTGTATTTCTTAAGCAATACTTTCATCATCCTTTTTTAAAGATACAGTGTCCACAGTCAGATGTACAGTCTGTACACTAACTCTTCCTCTTATTTTACTTTAGGTATGTTCCTTTCTTCATCATTCTGTTCATCTACTTCACCGGATGCTTCACAGCGACAGAAGAAAAGAAAAAGGTTCCTGTGTCTGGTTGGCTGTTGCTGGGACCCAGCGCTCTCTACTATTGGTCAGTCACTTTTTCACATCTTCGGAAAACGCACAAGAACAGAGATCTGATGATGGACCTTGGTCAGTTCACATTAAACGTACATAATACAGTGTATATAAGAGGATGTTAACTTGAATGGCTCTCAGTAGATCACGTACCTCCACCAAGGCCCATCAGTCTCTTTAAATTTAGTCATGCTACACTAGATCACACACACGCATAGATATCAGTCCTTTAAATATTAGATTCTTCTTTTAGAAAGATCTGTGAATTATTACCTGAGAAATAAAAAAAAACGGCCACAATGTTAAAGAAAGCACCTGGACCCGCACCAGATTTTTATGTCCTATCCTTCCAACAACTTTGTGGAAATCTATTCAGGAGGTTTTGCATAATTCTGCTGATAAACCAACCAACCAACAAACAAAAGGTGAAAACACAACCTCCTTTATAAAATAATAAGTGTCACCCTAAACTAATTTCAGTGTCTGAAGGTTAATTTTGATCTTCACAAAAGAATGACATTAAATTCAACTTGTGCAGTAAAACTGACTTCACTTAGAAATCTCAAATGACAAACAGCAATTAAACATGACCTCCTTGGCAGAGGTAATGAAATAAATAGAAGTATGTGAAAAGTACTGCTTCCATGATTAAAGAGATTAATGTGTGAATTACTTTATAAATGCTAAAGGTTAATAATGTTCTCTCTCACATTACAGATTGAAGTGGCTGAAATATAAAATTACTGAAAAAAACATGACAAGTTTTCAGTCAAATACATTAACATTCAAATTTAGTATTACATGATAAATATTGTAATTGTGTTTTTTGTCACTTGTCCCCTCTCAGACTTTTGTCATTACAGTCCCTCTGAATGACTGTAATGACAAAAGTCAAAGTTTGGCAAAACCAATTGAAGCCATCATGTCTTTCAGGACAGTTGTAATGTTTGCGGAAATTGTGTTTTATATATATTTTTTAAATAGATTCAGCTTACTTTTATTGTAGGGAGAAAATAACAAACCCTGATATTTCCATCCTCACCGTGTAGAGGAATTCAAATTGAGGAGATCAGAGTCAGAGTATGAACCTAACAAAATGTCCTTATAAATTTGAAACCTTGAGATTTTGTTCTTGTACTTGTTCTTTAGGGTTAGTGAAAGGCGAGATAAGTGTATTTGTAGACTATATTTCAACAACAAGGCAATTTCAAAGTTCTTTAAGTAAAATGTAAAAAGGCATCGCAACAAATTCTAAAAAGCAACACAAGACAATTACATAGAGAATATTAAAATAAGAAATAAAAGATTGACAGTAACAGTTTCTCTCTGACTTCCCCTTGGTTTCTCCTCCTCAAGGTACTTGGTGACTGAAGGACAAATCGCTGAAGTTTTCCTCCTGACCTTCCTTGCCATGGTTACCGTGGTGATACATCAGTGGCGTAAAGGCCTCAGCCCAGACAGCAATGGCCAGTTCCTGCTCTGTAGTTTCACTGTTGCCCTCATCCTGGTGGGGCTGTGGGTGTTCTACCTTTGGAGTGACCCGGTGCTACGCAAGAAATATCCCGGACTCCTTTACGTGCCAGAACCCTGGTCCTACTACACCTTACACATCAAGAATAACCAATGACCTGCACCCGAGGTCTGTGCTACCGTTTGTGTGATAGAAAACTATTCCTGAATGCTTCGACATCACAAGCTGCGTTTGTGTGTTTGACTTGACTGATGCATGTCTTTTTCGTTCTCCAGAGAAAGTGGCTGCACTCGATTCACGAGGATTAATGATGTGCACCAACGTGTGAGGAGACATATTCCCTCCTGAAGGCAGCAGGACCTCCAGTGATACACAGACTTTAACAAGTTGAGACTGTGATGATGTTTGGGGAAAGATTGGTCTCATTTTGCTTCTGCAATCACTTCTGCTAAACCTGCTTGGACTATGATACATGTCATGCATCAGCACTACCCATCACATGAGGTGTTTGCAATTAGCCCCGATGGGAATGTAAGTTTTAATTTAAGGTGTAAAACCAGGGTTGGGATGCTAACATGCTCAAAGCTAAACGCTAAATTGAGCTGTTCAGTTGGGAATCGAACAGTTGTCAATATTCTCCGACTTCCAGCAGTATTTTGTCTAATCGACATCAGGGGTTTATATCAGGTCTGATAAAGATCTGTAAAGAACGTGTACTGAGGTTTTTACTGTCAGGGCTTGTTCCTCAAATGTCCCGAATATTTCTGTGTATATATACAATGAATCAAAAGATTGTGCTTTCTTATATTTGGTTGTGTGGGAATCTCAGGATGTTTTGTCAGTTTACGTTTAATCATGAAAGTAAATTGGAGCCGAGTCTTTGGTCAGTTGCCAACTTTAGAACGTGAGTAGAAAGACGGAGCAGTATTAACAGATGTGACCTTTTATACCTTTTGTACATTTTTAAAACATTTTAAAATACTTCTTAAAAATGTCAAACAAATGAACAATACATTTTGCAAAACCACCAGTACAGTTCTGTCATGATTAAATATGTTGACTGAAATTCTACTTGTTCGTCATGTGTGAATGTGCTTCATATCAATAGTCCTTAATCATATTGGTAAACGTATTTAAAATGTATTCACTGTATGTGGCTATAAGCTGCTTCCTTTTATTATGTGACTCTATAGTGTCACTGATGAATAATTGGCGGGTTTTATTGGAGGGGTTAAAAGGGAAAGGACAATGCAGCGCTGAGGATCTGGTATCAGCGTTTCCACAGCAACGCATATTAAATTACGTGGAGGCTTTCAGGTGGTGGACTTTAAACAGAGGCGGAGGAACAGGTGAAGGAGGCGCCGGTCAACTCTCTGCTTCCTGAAAAGACACCGAGAAACCGCAGAAATGGTGAGAGCGAGACTTTCCCTCCACTGAGATACTTTTTATTTCATGTGTTTTCTTATGAAACTGATATTTCATTTGTACATATGATGCAATACTTTGCAGGCTAAGTTCTTCACACCAGTACAAATCAATGGTAAGAGTATTCCACAGCACCGCCACACATCTGTTAATGATTGAATGTTGAAATTGTACAATTTGTTAATCTACCCTTTTCATATGTACACTGCATTTATATTTTAATAACTTAAAAGAAAAAGAACGCTTTTGGGGACTCATTAGGATCAAAGTCTGATCTTGTTCTGTTCCTGTGAAGTAAAACCACTGGACTTCTACGTTCACTTGTGATTTTATGACGGATGAACTCACTAGAAAATGTCAATATCTTCGTTATTTCCCAGAATTCAAGGAGTGCTTCTCCTTGTACGATAAGAAGCATAAGGGCAAGATCGATGCCAAAGATCTCATCACAGTTATGCGCTGCCTCGGCACAAGTCCCACGTTCAGTGAAATCGAAAGGCACCTGCAAGTTCACAAAATTGGTAAAGTACAACACAACACAACATGAATCTAGTTTGTTTGTCAAGGTTGTGAGACTGAAAAATAATTATCAAGTAAGTTGCTTATATAATATAATCAATGTTGTAAATACTGATATTTTGGTGATGTGTTCAGTTACATCTACTGCACCTCTGTCTGTCCTGGGGGATGGATCCCTCACAGAGTGCTATGCAACATACAGTTTGACAGGCTCTAACCTCAAACCCTTAAAACGTATATGAAATATACCATCTCTTAAATGGGGAAAGGGAGAAACCTTAAGATCAACATTATTAATGACATAATTCCAGTCTTTCTATCCTCACGTTGACCTTGTACTCGGTTTTACTGCTCAAGTTGAGTTCCTCACTGTGACTTTAATTACGTGTGGTATGAGCCAAAATTGCCCCTTTGTTACATTTCTGACTTTTTCTTTAACATTACGAAAATAGTGCGTTTTTCCAATTTCCCAGGGATTCTGTCATATTTAATCAAATCTGTTGCAGCTTGTTTGAATTTAAGAGGATTGTTGGGTTTTGTCGGAGGCATGAGCTCCACTGAGCCTCATTCGAGTTAAGTGCTGCATTAATGCCATTCTTGTCAACTCGCGCATCGTTTCTTCACAATTATTTTTTCAACTTGGCACCGGCCCACACTTTGTGTTTGATCCCTGTTTTAGAAAAGTCCGGTGAGCTGGACTTCTCTTCCTTCCTGACAATGATGCACAGGCAGATACAACAGGAAGACCCCAAGTCAGAAATCCTGGAGGCCTTGAGGATGACAGACAAGCAGAAGAAAGGATACATCCAGGCGTCTGAGCTGCGGGCCAAGCTCACCAAGCTGGGGGAGAAACTCACGGACAAAGAAGGTAAAGTCACAGCTGAATCTGAGGAGAGAGGCAAAGTGGAAAATCTGCACAATGTGTTTTTCCATTGAACAGCGAATGAGTTGCTGTGTTGACGCTGAGCTGCAGCAAAAACATACAGTTCAATCGATAAAAGGGCTTTTATATATTCTTATATAATCCACAGTGAGCACATGGATGCAGGGCTCAGAGTTACATCGCCGTCTCTCCATGATTGGACAGTTAATTTATGAGATTGGATTTCAGATGAAACTGTAACAGTGAAGCGCTGACCCAGAGTTTAAAAGTTGTATGAGACCTTCACTGTTCACAAAATATTGATGTGAAGGTCTGGCTGAATATTCATGATATTTAAGAAGGCAGTCCAGTGAGGGTCTGCCTCAGTATCTCCATTGATTTACCAGTCTTTCCATATTCCTTTGCTGTCCTGACACCTGCCTGCTTACAACAGCTCCTCTCCTGTTATTCAGAAATCTGATCTGATATAAATATACACACACACACACAATTTTTAACTATTCCTTTAAGCCTAAACTTTGGGGGTTTGTCCATATCCCATATGCTAACATGGAGGAGGTGGGGTTTCTGACCGACACTGCAGCGAGCCACCGGGGGAGTGAACGAGACACCTCGACTTCACCGAGGCCGTTATGTCATCGGTCTTTAAATAGAGTCTATGATTTCCACAAACAGGTTTTTTACTATGACAGTGATTGAAGGAGACAGTAGATCATGTCTTCTGCTGACAGCCCTGAAGTGATGACAACAGTCGTCTTGACAGTTTTGTCGCAGCGTTTCCTGTGGAGACGCTCATCAACAGTTAAATCTGTGGGATTGATTTTGAAGCCTTTTGTGTTTCAAAGCCCTTAAACTCAGTTATTCATACGGTTTCTGGGCTCAAAGCGACATAAAGATTTAACTCCAGAGCGCTGCTGCCTTTCACTGTGCACATCAAGCAGTTTAAATTCAAACCAAGCTCGGCTGCTTCCCAGCGGAGACTCGTCCATCACGTTGAGTATTGACGCAGATATTGATGTCACTGAGAAAGCAGACAGCAGCTCTCAACTGTACAAACTGTATTAACTGTAAGCAGCTGAGGATGAGCTCCGTCGTTGTCGTAGTAAATCTGAATATTCAGGAGATCTTCATTGGCTCGATTTGTAGATCGCTGTGTGAAGAAACTGAAATTAACTCTGTTCTGTTGCTCAGTGTTGATTTGTGAAGTCGCTGCGTTGCATTTGCTCAAAAGAGCTGTTACATCATTTCATTTCGGAGTCTTTCCACATTCATACATATGTTCCACCACTTCTGTGAACCTGAAACTTTAGTTATAACATTTCAAGCGTTAGATAATTCATCCACATGAGTAAAGGTGGATTTTCACAAGAGATTTGAAGAATTTCTAAAAAGGAAATGCATTTCTAAATGTTCCACTTTTTTTCTCTTTACCCGTTGGTCAAATTTGAGCCTCAGTTTTATTTAAAGTACACTGATTATTCTTTTATTTGAAATCATAAATAAGCCTAACTATCTCCAAAGTACCTGGACAATTATAGACCTCAAATAAACAGAGTGCAGAAGATATATCATGAGGTACAAATATAAATAAACCTCAATATTCCATCCCTGTTTCAAACACCTCAAAATAACGATTTTGATAAAACTATAAAACTCAGGTTTTACCTTGCATCAGTCTGTAATGAAAGGTATATATTATGTTTGTATTTTGTATTTCTTACCACTTAATCTTTTGTCTTCTGCTGCTTTAAGAAGTAAATTATCAATAAAATCTTATCTCATCTTAATCTTATTTTAGGGAACACTTTCTGGACTGTTACTGGAGTTTTCGAGCTGTTTTCTCCTTTCACAGCTTTCGGTGTTTTTGTGTGTTTCCTGTGTTTAGTGGACGAGCTCTTCAAAGAAGCAAACGTCCAGTCGAACGGGACAGTGAATTATGAAGAGTTCACCAAGATGGTGACGCTGCCTCCTGTTGATTATTGATTTCTCCAAAGAAAAACACAAGGCATGATGGGAAACTGAGTTCACACGCTGACAGAGGGAAAGACGACACACCGGATTCAATCTCCGTGTTTAGAACAGCAGATTTGAGCCTGACAATAATCTTCATTATGTTTTTTTGCCTCATGAATATTCACTGATTATTTAATTAAATGCAGAATCTCCTTCCTGTAACCATTTTCCATCGGTTTCCTCGATGACTCATCTCTTCGTGAAGCACTGCCGTTGTTCTGCAACCTGAGGAAAACATGATCTGAACTCTTAATCTTTGATGGAATCAAGTTTTGAAACCATTACGTTCTCAGTTAGTCCTTTATCAAGTCTGACAGTCCAACTAAACTCAATGATTTGAATTTAATCTAGTTTGATGCTTTGTATATTTACTTGAAAACACTTGTGTGTGCTACCTTTAGTGTCATGATGTAGTTTTTGTCACAAACATGTGTTTAAAGACTTAATTCATGTATTCTTAAGGACCAAGACTATAAATGTATGTTTTCACAAGTGTTATTTAATCGTATTTAATACAGAATATAAATATCTATATGTAACTACATTTTATTGATTAATAAACAAATAACAGTTGCTCCAAAACTTGTAAGAGTTGTGTTATCTCATTAAAGCTTGTAGTTGACCGAGTGATTCCATGATGTGTTCAAACACTAATAACTATATTATTACTGATTCTAGAAACACAGATACTCCCTGAGCAGGTCATGAAACCTGTGTGATCTCAGCACTCAGCATTATGCCCCGATTCAGTCATAATGTTCAAAAGCCGCAAAAATGATTCATCTAGTTTCTGCTTTTTCCCTGCAATGATGAAATGTTTGCTCACAACAAAACCAAAGTATATATCCATCATTTCCACAAACTCCGCTCTACTATGTGCAGCATAGACACACTGAACATACCGGATGTGACTGCTGGTGTCATCCTACTTTCCCCCTTTAACTCTCTGAACAGACAATACTCATCTTTGGGATCATGGAAAATATTTACTAGGCTACGACCTGCTGCTGGATAATGAATGAAATCGTCACATTTGACTTTTAGAATATGGTTTGCAAAGGGAACTTAATGTGAATGAATCTTAAAACCAAGTAGAAAGAAATTAAAGAAAAGCAACGGCCTCAACTGGAAACACCAAAAACATTATGATCAACTTATTACTATTCAAATCTGCCAGTGACAGTTATCAATCAATAATCAGTGACTGAAACTGAGAGATGATCTCAAGAAGCTCACGTTGGAAAAACACATTTTAACTCTTCATTTGAAATAACTCTCCTGTAATTGACTCCACACACCTTATTTAGAAGCCTGGCAACAGTAACCAGAGACACACACGTCATCACTACCTGAATCCTGGATGTAATTCTGAGATAACCAGTGAAGGAAGCATGTGAACATGATTCAATTACCTGTTTCCATCACCTGCAAATCTACAATTTAAAACAAATATATATAAGAAAACACAAATTTTTCTTCCAAGTTATATCCATTTACACGTATGCATTATATGTGTAGACAAGATATTTATATTTTACTTTTAATACACGTTAGAACTACACAGTATCAAGTAATAATCCCTTATAAAGTATGACTTTTAACTGTGAGATGTAGAGACACTTTGGTTCCTGTGTTGATTGTTGCCTGAGGACAGTTTGTACATCAGTCAACAAAGAGGTTTCGTTACGTCTGAATTCAGTTTACTACCTTCAACAGATACAGAAAATAACTCCAGAGGTTTGTCATCGTCACCAGCACGCACACGCACACACACACACACACACACACACACTTTTTTTTTTTATGAATGTAGGAAGAAGCACATAAGACGAAGACGTCAAGTGTCAAAAACATAACGGCAAGAAATCCTTATTCAACCGAATGTGACGTGTTCCACTTTCACACAAAAACATTTATTCTGAAATGCTGAATTTGCCTCCATTTCAAATCGAGTGGTTAATAAACACATATTGACATCAAATGACCCAATATTCAAGTAGATGAGGCACTGGCCCTGCCAATACCCGACCTGAAGCGTCTGGAGCCTGCGTGGCCTCGAGCACCAAGAATATCCTGCACGTCCACTTTTCACATTTTACTTAATGACTTTTAAATTAAAGTGTAAAGTGTAACCGTTCGCTAAAACCCGCCCCACACCGCGTTTATGTTATCACCATCGGTTTGAATAGTTATCCAAGGACGATTGATTGTCTGATTGTATATTGGTTGGTTGGTTTGTTTGTTAGTGAACTCTGACTAATGACTGACATTCTAGTTTGTTTGTCAGCAGGATTACGCAAAAAACACAGAATCAGATTTCCACAAAACATGGTGGATGGAAGCGACAGGAGCCAAGAAAGTAAAATTTTGGTGTGTCTCACCTTCTGTAACATTGCCTCATAGTGTTTGAGTCAAACACAATTTTTTTTCTCAATGTTTCAGTGTTTTTGAATAATAATTCATGGATCTTAAAACATTTATAAAATCAATGAGTGTGTGAAATGTGTTGCAGCTTGATTGAATGCACGGTCTCGGCTGAGACGTGTGCTGAGTGCTAGTTTCACGTTGTTTCAAAAATCACCGCAAAGTTCGATCAACCGCTGTTTTAGCTGATCGTGAAGCCTAACAGGCACATAGCAACTGTATCTAAGGGGGCAGGGCTTAGCGAGCGGCCAGTTGTTTATTAACGTCACGTGAGGAATTTCTGCACCACTTATTTAACTTGTACCACATTTAACGTCAAACCACACGGAACTTTATACCTGATTCAATCTGTACACTCTCTGCTGCCGTCATTAACATGAAAGCATTGTACCAACGGTTAATAAGTGGTTTATCTACACATGTAATGATGTATTACTACATCATTACTACACTGACTACACTCATGGGAGCACCACATCTGTTACAAGGACATATTGATTCATAAAATCTGTTCAGACGGAATAATAATAATAATAATATATAAAAGTGCAAACAGATGTTTACATTCTCATTGTTTAACTAGGAGAAAAGGATACGGTTTGTTATATTTCCAATTTCTTACAGCCTCATATAATAATATAAGTTTTGGAATATGACTCATTCATGATTCGTCTGTAGTGGTGATGAGGCAGAGGCTCAGATTGTCGATTTTCAGTACATTTCATCACTCAGTGGTGCAGTCAGTGTCCTTGTTGGCGTGTGAGTGATTGCTTTGTTGTTGCACCTCAGCGGCGAGACGTGCCAGCGGGCCGGGAACGCTGGCTGCAGGTTTTGCAGCACTGAGCTCGTACATTGGCCAGATGGCAGCGGCCGAGCACACGGAGAGTGTGGCAGAAACGGAACGTCAGCCGGTCCCGAAGACAAACCGCTCCTGTGTGGGCGACAGAGAGAGGGAGAGAGAGAGAGATGTTACCTGAAGAGGTGAAACCGACTTTTTTCTGATCATACTCAGTCGACACAGGCTGATGACAGAATGAATCATAGACATGTTGTTATATCAGTGATTGAAGCCAAATCATGTTGTCACATCTGTTTCATCTTATCCGTTTTTATTTCGAGCAGTCTTTTAAAATTACTGACAACACGAGAGGATCCAAATAAAAACAGACACGTGGAAACAGTTCAGTGCACCGGGTCCGGGCAGGAAGCCGGGGATCATGGGTAATATTCACCATTCAGTGTGTGTTTCGGTTCTTTGAGTGGGACTACACAGTCAACACATAGAATAGAATTTTCACATTACAGATATAATTTTCACATTAAAACCACTATCAAACCACACTTCGATAAGAATACCAACAGTATTAAATAACCATGTGTGGCTACAGGGGGCGCTGATGCTCATGTAACGTTACTCAGTGTTGCTTTAACTTCTGTTCGGTTCTTGAGTTTTGGGGATTTTTGACCGAAGTGAGATGACAATCAAAAATATTCTCTTCTCCTGCAGATGTTGGTACAACAATGAATGTGAGGAAAAGAAGACTACTTATAAAACCGTGTCAGAGGCCAACGCACCTGAAAGAAAAACAGATTTGTACAATTGGAAAAAAAGAAAAGAAAACACAACCCACACTTTCCTGCTGCAATTTCAGTTGAGGGGAATAATGTGGATGTTTCTGAGAGGAGGAAGAAAAGCGCTGATGGCTTTTACAGGCAATCAAAGTATTATAGTTATAAATCTACTGCAAACTGCTGTGTTCTGTGGTTTTCAGCAACAGGGACAGATATGAGAATATTATTTCAGGAGAGAAACATTTTAATTCTCAAAGTTCTCTGAGAGCTTAAACAAGGTCTTCACACTGTGACATTATGATCATCTACAGTGTAATTGTTTATAAAGTAGACCTAAAAGGTCACAGTACATTCTGTGCTCAGCTCAACGTTCTTGTTATGGAATTGCACACAATCGGCAGTAACGCCTCTGCAGTCTGAAGTGAAGCAGAAAAAAAAGATTGTACAATAGGTGTTGACACGTGCGAAAGAGGCGTCACTGCTTCTGCTCAATACACAATATTTCCTTTGTGCGTCTCATCTCACCCCCAGTTGTTATCTTTGACTAAGCAGCGTACCCCTGACTGAACAGCAGAAAGGGACAAAAGGACACAGGAGATGTGGAGTTATATGGAATATAATAATACCCAGGAATATTGGGTTAGGTAACAACAACAACAAAAAATCCAATTATGGTTTTCCAGCCCCTCTTCACCTTATGGATCCGTGGTATCAGTGGATGTGGCTGTGCATTGGTTACTAATACAAAGTTCACAGAAAGTTAAGTGAAGCATTATAAATGGACAGGCCAGGGAAGACAATAGCTCAGTGAGGAACATTTCAAGAGTGAAAGGCTGATGAAGGACCATAAGGGAGTGAAATGAGCACAATTAAATATTGCACAAGCCCATATGACCTACATATCTCTGTATGATCAATATTTTAAAACTACAGGGTGCTCAGAGACTGCATACCTCCATCAAAACCCTGTCACCACCATGTTTCAAACAGAGAAAATATTATATTCATATTTGCTCAAAAATCGATCCTCCAAGGAAGTTTTTGTTGGTTTGTTTATTTGTTTGTATGCAAGATTACACAAAAAATACACAAAAATGGATCTCTGTTTTTTCTTGGCAGAAGGGGATGTGGTTTAGGCCAGAAGAGAACCCATTACGTTTTGGTGTGGATCTGGATCAGGGGGCAGATCCACACATTCTTGAAAATTGTGAGTTGCAGGCGTTTTTCAACATTTTTAATAATTATTTTTTGATAAGGAATTCATGCAGACAGTCAGACAAACAAATGCAGATGAAAACCATTAACTGTAAATCACTAGAGGCGACTCTGAGAGCACGAGCTCCATCAACCAACACCTCTTCATCACCATATTGCATTTAGTATTGAGATCAGGTATTGGATTAATATCCAGGTCTGCAGCAAATTTCCCCTGTTCATAGATATTAGATTCTTCTTTTTCTAGTCTGCTCTAAAGGTTAATGAGGTTTCTTTCGGCCCATACCCCATTCGTCCACGAGAACCAACAAAATCTGTTCAGTAAATTGCGTAGTCCCACAAACAATCAAACAAGGTATTGACCTTCTAGTGCCTTGAGATAATGTATATTATGATTTGGCGCTATACAAATAAAATTGAATTGAAAAAAAACCTAACTGGAAGTCACTCCGAGCGTGTACCTTCGCAAAACCTTAAATCTAATCAAGTGAATTACTATAGGGGTGAAAACATAACCTCCATGAGGTGATAATGGACTTCCATCTGCAAATCTTATGTTTGACTTCCATCTGCGAATCTTTTGTTTGACTTCCATCTGCAAATCTTTTGTTGCAAAAATTAAGAAACAGTCCGAACATTTACTCTCCTTCAGTTCTGTTGACCAACTCCAGGGGGAAATATTTGAATGTGTAGCCGCTACACGGTGTTCACCAGCTGCTCTCTATCTGTGTCGGCCGGCTGAGTACATGGGGTCCGACTGGTATTTTAGAGTCTTTTACACGAATACAGCTGCTTGTAAGAGACTTAAATACTCTGAGAGCAGTAGAGTTGTGGGCTGGACAGATGAACAACAAGCTAAATCTCTGTAAAGCTCAATAAAGCTGCAGAATTATGTAATAATTCCATGTAGTTTTATCACCTTACACGACTCACTTGATGCATTATAATACCAATATTGAAAATAGAGTCCTGCTGGGATCTCTGAAGGAAGTTTAATATTTCTGTCACTTCAGTCTGATCCAATGAAATAAAGATATTTTAGAGGACTGCTGGAGAAAAGCTTAGACCTTTGGCTCATGCCTCCAAAATCCTCTGGTGGTTTTAAATTACAGAAAAATATTTCACCCTTCACTGAGACATGGTGGGCTCAGGTAACCTCAACCTTTCTTCAGCTGTTACTAGACACTATTGTTGCCAGGATATTTATTCCTGTCAGGATTTAAATGGATCTAAATTAGCTTATTTTCTAAGGTGGAAAAAATGCGTCACTTTGTTGTTCCCTGTGGAAAAGAAACACTGAAACAGGTTGTAG